AGGCAGTTGACTTCAGCCGAGTGAGCCAATACGGTCGCCGCTGGCTTGTCGTAGCTCTCAGACCGCATATCCCAGCTTCACCATTCAGATCAAGATAGGCAGTTAGATCGGCATCGGTAATGTTGCAATCCATTCCAGGAACTTACATGAGCAGCTTCTTGTCATCACCGACCGAGCCGATGATCTTCGGGTGATGCCAGTGCCATGCCACATCCTCAATGACGTCGCTGTGGCCAGTGTACTTGTGCAGAGGCTCGACTGTTGTGCCAGCCTTGGTAATATCCCATTCGCAAATGATCGCGTCGTTGGAACCGGAAATGAGGTGGTGCGTTTGGTGCGGGTCCCAACAGAGGCCGTAGCCTTCCTTACCGTGGCCCAGTAGTCGGTGTGTCGGTTCAATACTTTCTCCAGCATCAGTTTTGATCTTCGAAATGTCGAACACGTGCACTTCAGCGCTAGGGGTCTTGGTCGCCACAAAGAGGTTATCGGACGGCATGCAACGCGCTCGGTTCACCTCGCCTTGGTGGCTAAAACTAAGCGAGGTCTTCATCTTGCGCTCAACGGCATTATTGTAGTCACCCAACTCTGATCAGCCATAAGATATCAACAAATACCGTCAACGGAAACGAAACAACGAAATGGAAGCACTCTTTCTTCTCTACCTTGGGTGTCTTCATTCAGCTTGCACGCGTCGTCTAAGGGCAGCCACACTTTCGCCTTCATCACCTTGTTTTGCTCCGCTCCCGACGTATTTGTGCCCAGTAGGAGCTCATACTCGCAGAAATCTGACGTGTTGTTAGTTCTGTCAGGGCATCAGCAACAGATTAAACTCAACTCCCCATGCAAACAATTTCGCATTAGACGCACGGCGCAGAGAGCCACTGGACAGTCAGTGAGGGCCAATCAAGCGAGTGGGTTATCACGAGGTCATATAAGAACGGCGTGTTTTTCTTCCAGGTCCGGTACTCCTCGCTCTCAAGTCTCATATCCGGCTCGACTTCCTCGTCCTCGGCAGCGTCACCCGCATCGCCGGTGAGGTCCTGAACCTCCTCCATAGGAGAAGGGTCCGTGTGCTCAGCAGCGTCAGACATTTCGGCCGCAGAGCTGGGAGAGCGCGACATGGTACTCAAAAATGCTCCAGTAACGGCGTTTCGTTGGCTGATAAAGACTACGATTGGCAATTTTGAGGGGAACTCCAGGATGCAATTGTTTGCCGCTCTAGTATTGCTTTTTTGTCTTTGCAAACGCGGGTGAACAAACTTTTGGGTCTAGTACATTCAAATTAGACTAACCTCATCATTGCACCAAATAGAGTTGGCAATAATTGGCTTATTCGAGGTCTTCGTCGGCAACTTCCGCTTGTTCGGTCTCCTCGTCTTCCTCGTTGTAAATGTTCTCCGCCATCTGCCAGATCTGCAGGACGTTGTCCTCGGCCACCGAGGCCACCACCCACGCGTCGTTCGGGTTCCACGAAAAGTCGGAAATCTTGGAAGTGTGGCCGCCGTGAATGAACAGCAGCTCCGGAGGTCCGTCCTCGGCGTCTTCGGGCGATTGTTCGTCACCAATCTGTTTAAAACACACATTACACAAATCAATAATCCTGGCCACGGATGATCAAGTAGCTACAGCGTACCTTGCTGAGGTCCCACACGTGTAGACGGCGGTCAGCAGAGCAGGAGCCCAGGATAGTCTCGTTGTGAGGAGACCACTGGATCTGGTACACTTCATCGTTGTGGCCTTCAAACGAGTGCAGTTTCGCCTTCATGTTACGCATATCCCAAAGGTTCACGTGCTTGTCTGCTGAACCAGTAGCTACCAAATACTCGCTAAACGGACTGAAGGCCAAGCAGTTGACCTCAGCAGTGTGGGCATACACAGTCGTTGCCGGCTTGTCGTAACTCTCCGAGCGCATATCCCAGCTGCAATTGACAGCAAACACATCAGTAACTACCCTTATCAACTCTCATCATTCGCCAATCAACTTACATGAGAAGCTTCTTGTCATCACCGACGGAACCGAAGATCTTCGTGTGGTGCATGTGCCATGCCACGTCCTCAATGACATCACTGTGCCCGCTATACTTGTGCAGCGGCTGTACCGACTTGCCAGCGTTGCGGAGGTCCCACTCGCAGATGATGGCATCGTCTGAGCCGGAGATCAGGTGGAAAGGTTGGTGCGGGTCCCAGCAGAGACCGTAGCCCTCCTTGGTGTGACCAAGAAGGCGGAAGTCCGGGTTGCAGCCGGAGTTCTCCTCTGGCTGAGATGGCCGCTTCGAGATATCGAACACGTGCACCTCCGCATGGGGAGTCTTGGTGGCCACAATTAGCTCATCCGACGGCATGTACCGCGCACGGTTCACCTCGCCGTCGTGGTTGATGCGGATCTTGATATCTACCTTGCCCGAGACGCCACCAAAGCCGCCGAGCTCCTGGCTTTCCTCATCGTACTTGCGGGCGTCAATCTCCGTGTCCTCCAGAGGCAGACGGACCTCTGCTACCATCAAGTGGTTCTGCTCTGCTCCAGACGTGTGCGTGCCGAGAAGCAACTTGTGCACAGAGAAATCGTCGCCAGCCGAGCTGCAATAACATCATAAACCCGTTAATTATCGGCCAAAATTGGTCGTAACATCACAGAAATATTGCAAATAGCTAGAAGCCTTATTGCCACTTACGTGTGGGAGTTGGGTAGCCACTGCACACTGAGCGAAGGCCACTCAAGTGCGTGCGTCATCACTAAGTCGTACAGGAACGGCGTGTTCTTCTTCCAGATCTTGTACTCCTCATTGATAAGCTTCTCCTGGAGCGCCGCATCATTGGCGGCCACAGCGTCGACTGCGGTGGCAGGAACGGCAGCTGCGGGCGCCGGTGTGGTCTCAGCGTGCTCGTTAGCGTCAGCCATCTCGATAAGGCGGGAAGAGATCGAAAATGGCGGGCTATTTGGCTGGTGTGTTTTTGAGGACGTCAATGGGAGGATATCATTGGCTGATATTGATACGTCACTAATGGGTCACTCTTCACTTTGACACGCTGGACTCAGATCCGATTCGGCCCAAGATGAAGCGGAGTGGGTGTGCTTGATACAGAACGGAGGCGGTGGACGTTTGGTGATCGTGTGTGTGTGTGTTGTGGGTTAAGATGTGCAATTGATTGTGGCGGGATCACTACTTTTGTTGGCGCTCGTGGGAGTCATTGTGGCATCGGCGGCGTATTCGTCGCCATGGGGCCTCTTTGTCCGTACGTTGCGATGCTTGTGCCTACATATATGATGGAATATTGGTCTCTGATTACATTGTGGTCGTTGCTAGTTTTCCCGTATGTGTTGCTGCCGATGACAGCGGCGATCTTCTCGACTTTGTCGGGAGGGGACGACCTCAGGTAGTAGACCAGCAACACTGACGCAGTGGTTTTTTTTTTCTCTCTCTTCCTTAGCACCGCGTATTCCGTTGTCTTTTCATTTACTTAGTGCCTGGGCAGGCTTTGGCTGCTTCTTTGAGGCTTTCTTTTGGGTCACCGCGTTCGCCATCCCCTCTATTTTGTATCGAGTCGAGGCGGTACGATAGTTTATCTTGTCTTTGTTGTTCGTGCAACCAGTGGAGTTGATCAAGTATAAACAGATTAACGGGTCTCAGCTCGGCTGGCTGATCGCCTCTGACGCACTTGTCTTTGCGTCCTTTATGATTTTGGCGCTGATCAACGGAAACTAAGGACCTATGGTGAAGTTTAATAGTTAATAGTTCCTTAATCACTGTAGCAAAGGGAATGATTTATGAACGATATTCAAGCGATCTGGCTGCACTATTTGCACTCAGTGATGCGGCCATTTCATAACGATGTTGATCTTAGTTCTCACATATGATGTAGGTTTTGGTGGGGTGCATCGTTGATAACAAGTACCCGACAACGAATCATTGTTAACGACAGATCACGCTTGTCCACTGCAAGAGTATCTCTCCTGGTGTCTGTGCCGCTAAGCAACAGATTCGGTCGGATGCTTTGAAGTGATTTCGTGTCGAAGCTGTTGAACCACATGAATAGCAACTCTTTGCTTTTGCTACCTCTCGGGATTCTATTTCGTCAGGTAGAGTTTGAAGCGGGGATTCTTTCGCACCAACCCATTAATCGCCTCAAGGGAGTCGACCGCTTAATAACTCAGACTAAATTGGCGCAGCAGTCGATGTTATGGCTGGCAGGCTGGCAAGGTTCTGTGCCTCCACCTCGACATTCTCTCGCAAATTGCAACGAAATTGCAATAGGGAAGTTGAAGTCGTTAAGCCAATCAACCGCAACGGCATATCCTTGAAGCAAACACAGTGTGAATGTTCACCACTGCCATCTTTGAAGACATTCCCAGCCTTGTCAAGTGATGAGGCGGAGTTTTTTTCTTTCATGTCTTAGGTAATAGTTTTTATTCTTGATTCCAGTAATGAGTCTCGTTGGTGCTTGCCACGTTGGCATTGCAGAATGTAATGAGTCTCTTTGGGGTTGAGATTGTCATAGTGTACCGATGTAGTCGCAACTCCGCCTTACCGAGATGGTCAACACTCGATTGTGGTCCTGAACGAGCTACGAACGTTTCCAATAAGTGAGTCGCTCGCCGCATAACTTTGACGAAAGAAATAACTTCAAGGATGTGTCTGATTGGTTGGACGGCTTCAACTTCGGTGACCAATCGCTGGAGCAGGCATTACCGAAAAACCCAACCACGTTATCGGGGAAGACAAGATTCTGGGCCATTGTGGACACCATTAGATCTCAAGTTGAGGCATAACCTTTTGTTACTAACAATTACAGCAGCTTTTCGTTCGTTTTTGCTGGCTGTGCTGTAGATATAGCAGCGGCGGATTCCAGCTTGTCAGAGCCGTTCATTGCCATGGCAGTCGCTATATATGGGGGGGTCTTAATTGGTGATAGCATTCGCATTACCGCTCGCCCCTGCCAGCTCGTGGTAGCACATTTCTGTGCGTCGTTATGGTTTGATGAAACGCCGCCAACCCATTTTGCTAATCAGCGAAGTGAAGCGAAAATTTTGCTGGGAAGAAGATGGCGACCGTAACGGAGCTTCTTTCGAGACTGGCCTGATGTCGTGCTGCAGGCTGCACTTTGCACTCGGGTAGGCGTACTACGAGGCAACATCGCAGTGAACTGCTTTGTAGCATGGCCAAGCAAGCAAGACGGATCTGGCCGGCAGGGTTCTGCCCGCTTCAACACAAGAAGAGGCACCAAGCAGTCAATGCAAACCCACCATTTGGGTGCGAGTAGACAGGCCGACTGGATATGGTGTTCATGGTGTGAGCCTTCTGGTAATGAACCACCAGCTGAAGGCAGATTTGACTTGCCTGGCTAAACCGCAATGCAGTAGGCTTGCCACGATTAGCTTGTGCATTGCGCTATAGCGCCATATAAGCTGACCAAGCCGTTACCGATGCGCTGTGCTTTGAGCGCGTGGTTTACTGTAAGACCAGTTGCAGCTGTGGGGCATATCAGGCCGCGGGCAATGCTGAAAGGATGCACCAATGAATGTGCCTGATTCGAGGCGTCATGAACGGCCCTGAAAAAAAATCTACTTCGAAGTAGCTTTTGTTGAGGCTGACAAAGGATGTATCAATACTTGTTTGGCCTTCACCATAGTCTTCATGTAGTGAAGTATCTTTGACATTGATGCTGGTGCTCTGCAGCTGAACAAGCAGCTATTTAGCTGGATTGACAAGCAGGTAGGTTGTATTTGCCATCATCACAATGGTCACATGGGTAGCACAGGAGTTCCAAGACAAGCATTCCAGCTGCGAAATTGAACTCCAAAATAATGTATCATTGCGCGGTGGACGAGAAAGAAAAATCTAAAACGGCAAGAAGCAGTGTGTGGGTAATTTCTTGTCTTAAAAAAGAAAGGGTAACAACACGTTCCGCAGTTGAGGCGGGGAGGGATCAAGCTCAACCTCGTTTCAACCTAATAATCCTGGCGAGTTGGTTGTGAATGGCAAGTACGTGATCAACCCCACGCCAAGTTGCCCCGCAGAGCACCATCGTTTGACACTGCTTGTTGTAGATTTTTTTTTTATACGGAGCAGTTGTGTGAGTCGCGGCGTTGTTTAGAGTGTCTGGTCGTAAAAGATGATGGTGGTGAAGAAGATCCGCGGTGGCCTTTCGCGTCGTCCTTTCACACACACTGACCTCGTCGGACTCACCGATCCAGCTGCTTGCGGCGGAAGTGCCAGCAGGCCTTTCATTCCTGAAAACGCCTCGGAAGCAGCAGAGCATCCATCCAACCAACTAGCCAGCCAGCTCCTCTCCCAAGATCCAGCCCCAATTATGAGCATGTCGGACGTGAGCACGGTCAATATCACCGTAGGCGCCGCCGGCAAGGTCGGCGAGGGCGTCAACTCGTACTACGTATACAAGGTCTCGTCCGGTGCAGACGTGGTAGTAGAGCGCCGCTACTCGGACTTCCTGTGGCTCCACCACCAGCTGTCCAAGCAGTGCGCGGGCTACGTGATCCCGCCGCTGCCGGCCAAGGTCGTGGGTCTGCTGCAAGGGTCCGAGTTCCTCGAACACCGCCGCGCTGGCCTTGAGCGTTTCCTACGCAAGGTCGTCCACCACGACGAGCTGAGGAACTCTAACTTCTTCCGCAGCTTCCTCGAGTGCTCCATCGTGGAGCTGACGGCGCTCAAGGCCGAGGCGCAGCGCTCCAACTCTCTCGACGCCACGTCCATGGCCTCGGTAGTGCAGCGCACGCAGCAGCTCAACAACTGGTGGGGCAAGACGTACCAGCGCATGGTGGAGAACGACACACTCAACCTCTTCGGGCCGCGCAACAAGGAGGACGGCGAGAACAGCGGCATCATCGAGGACCCCGAGTTCACCAAGGTCGCCAAGTACGTGGCCAAGCTGCACGCGCAGATCCAGTCGCTTAAGAGCAAGGTGCGCGCCGCCAGCCAACA